CAGATTGTCTTAATATCTAAAATAAAAATCCGCATTGCAGATACACGTGCTGGAATCGATCCTAGTGTATTGTATTATAAATGTTTCGAACTCTGTATTCGGCGTCATCGTTAAGCTTCCAAACGACTACCCCCTTCTCCAAACACAAAAATTCATTAGTAATTTAGAATTATCAATAATCGTAACTGTATTTACGCTTAGCTTCATCATGCTAGTTACTGCTATACTTTGTTATTAAGATAATTAATTGTAGGACTCGCTTCACTGTTATAAACGAGTTCCTTCCGAAATTATAAGGCTTATAGTTACATAATGTTAGCGAACATATGTGAAAACGATATGGGAATATAATTTGTTGAACAGTAAATACTGTGCCATTTTTATTTGACTCGTCTTCATCACCCGTGAAGAAATCGGTCACTATGACGGTGAAGTGCAACGATAACTGTTTCGGGTAAGTTCGATAGGTCCCCAATATTACCATTTTTACGTATATCGAATTTATTACAATTGTCACCTAAGAACAGGTCATCTTGGTCAAACATTTCGAATTTTCGCAAATCTGCGAGTAGTTCGGCTGCTATTTTACTTTTGCTGCACTTCAAGATGATCCTCGGAGAACTTGTTCGACTCTTATATTCTATAGCTCTTAACTACAGTGAACACAGATTGGAGAGAACTAATTACATGGAAAGTGTTTGACCTACTAGCAGGATTTACGATTCGATCCAATGGTGTCTCTGAACATTCAGTCTGTTAGACGTTTCGTAGCAGATAAAATATCATGGTCATCAATTATCACCTAATCATTTTCACGTGAGGCAATGATGAACACATAACAAATGATTTTGCTTGTCTAAGGTAAACTTCGGGCGATTGGAGCCGGCTGTATATGTATGAACGCTTTGACAGCTAGGTGAAGATACCCAAGAGTACTCTTATCGCCGTTGTCATTAAGAAGATATGAATAAATAAAAAAATGCCATTGCAGTAGAATGAAATTTAGCAAGATGATTAGTTGAGCATAATATGTATAATAGCAATATTTGTTCCGATCTGAGCGTCTGATGGGTTCAATTAATGTGCACACTGTGTTGAATGTGAGAGCTATAGGTGCATTGGAGATTTTGTTGGCTTTATTCCCAAGGTCCTATCCACTTAAGCAAATAATTGTTCTCGTTCAACAACTAAGACGATCGCTCGGAAGCCGTAGGCGATATCCTTCATCGGTTAACCAATTCTTTGATATATGCAGATAGATAATACATGGATATATTATGATTGTATGGTGGATTTTACCATCAGCCGAATACCGAACGGTGCTATCTCAAGGCCGATAAAATAGCAAATAACGAAAAACTAACTGAGAATGGAAGCTAGATATTGTTCTAAAGATTAGCACCAAAGAAATAAACAGTAAGAGTATAAAATAGTTCGTACAGCGTAATAATTAATACTTGCCGCTATCGTTTGGCCAGCACAATCTGAAACGACTGCTAGAGAGATGCGTATTTTACAAAAAATGCATGAAAAACACCTAATCACCAAATTAAATATGGCGCCTAGGTTTGTATTTAGTCGTAAATGCCGACCTATGGGTCTTTATCGAATACGAGACAGTTTTTACTGGAATCAATTAAACGAATGTCGCATTGATTTTATGGGTCTTTTTATCTAGAGTTTTGCCTCCAGTAACGCCGTTAGGCATTCCAGCAGACAGCTGGCTCCCGACACGAAACGAAGTTTGTATATGCCCTGATTCAAACCTAGGCCACAACGTATCCCTAAGATTAGATTATAGATAGACGAGTCTACTCTGCCTTTGAAAGGAATACGACTTTGAAATTAATTTAAAATTGGCTTTGTTAAAAAGATATAATCCTAGTGTCTTTAACGGGATAAAACTTATTGGCACAAAGCAATTTGTATAAGTATAATAATGCGTCATAATGCACGTCTCCAAAATAAACAAACGAGTTAAAACTGTACACGCTATTCAGGTGTACACAAAGCAGACCTACTCTGGGCAGGACAGGTATATAAAAAATGTTTCCCAACATAAGAGTTCGTTTTCTCTTGCCGGCTTATTGTAAATGTTGCATAATCCTTTCAAACAGATGAGCTGGAGATGGATATAGGGTGACTAAAACAATACTCTGTATCGCTCACGTGCCTACGTGTACAAGCTTGTTTCTACGTATAAGCGCTTTGTTCAGAACAACTCATGATAATGATAACGTCTCTCTTTTCTAATGACCTGCCTATTACGACCCTTACATCGCGACAAGAATGTTCCACTTCCTTCGAAAACTATAATCTCTGCGTGCTGTCATTTTTTCAAATCTGTATCAAGCTTTGGACATTCTGCGGAAAAGCACGAAGCTGTGGGATCAGCAGAATCTATTAGCAACCAGATATTGTTCTTCTCCCTTTTGTCCGATAACTGTACCTTGATATGCACGAAATAATCATAATTCCTAAATACTAGCTGAATTATATACAGGATCATAGTATCATGTTATGGCCAACATTTTTTCGTAACGTAATAACCATTATATATAATAATAGCTGATATAAACCTTGAAGTTCATTAAGATTTATATCAGCTCTAGAAATGTTGGTCGCTTACTACGAAGTGTGTTTATAGCTATTTCAAACAATATATTAACAGTAAAATCAAAAATGGAGTAATCATGTAGCTTTGACATGGACGACTAGGGAGGTATCTCGGTAGTGAAGCTGCCACTCGAACATTGGAAAGCCGCTCGATCTATTAACCAATACATGCACGTCGCTCTTTGTGATCCTAGAAGAAAAAAATCACTGCCCTTAAGCTGCTCCGGCTACACAGATACAGACTTCGGCAAACTAGCTCCGTAAGCTACAGGATGAATTAAAATCACAGCTTTCTCAAAACACCTGAACATAGGACTTCTTCTAATAATACCATTAGATGCACAAGCATCAGGTCTTCATATTTTATAGCATTATTCCGAATTACTATATTTGTACCATCATGTTATCGTCTATTGTGCTTTAGTCCAAACGATTTGGTATTGGTCTGGCAGGTAACAACATTGCCCCCATTATTAAACTTGCTAATTTACAATAAAATAATTCATATTCGGTATTTTCCGCTGCTAAGTAATTTGCAAAGATAGAATTTCATCTGTCGGTTTCCAATAAAAATCTCCAAACCATTCTGGTTTACCCATTCTCACTATTATAGAATTACGTTAGAGACAGATCCGAGAAACAACCGCAAGTGAGAGGGCGCACTTGTCGCGGAAAACAGGATAATAACCATTAATAATGTGCGCTTTTACAAGCAACTCAGTCTTCGTTAATAGAACGAGCATTTATTTAGACAACCAAGTGCTCGATCATCACGTTTCGTAAACCTGTATGAATGTTGTGTTTAAACGAATTTCGAAAATGTTCATAGGCCTACTTTTAATGATCTAAGGCGTAGATAGCGAGCAGATTTGGCAACAGTTCAAAAAGGCTGTAGTGACTTTGATGAACCGAATGTTCGATAATAAACGTACTGATAATTGCACTCGAAGACCTTACATTTTCATTTTGTACTGGAGTTTTTATAACCAAATAAATGCTACCTGACGGTAGCTCACCCTTCCTAAACACAATAACCTATTACGAAGAACCAAATGCTTCATCGAATGCATGTTTTTTGGATAATTTTCGGAAGGGGACACAAATCTAGACAAGGATTCGAGGTCGACAGACGATGGTACAAGAAGTTTTAGGTAATAATATGTATTGTAGTAGTAAAGGAGTTAAGGCAAAAATGAGGTCATAGAAGCTATGCTGTTTGTTTGTATCGTGATTAATCCATGAGTACATGTTTGTTAAATGTTTGTCTACTGACCGACTGTTGACTTAAGGTTGCTCTGTGTTTTTTAGGTAAAGACTACTATACATATTTAAGGTCTGCTACTTCAGTACACAATTCACGTATGTCGAGATGGCGATTATAATCGAAGGTGTTTCTGATTCGATTTCCAAAGAGTCTTCAATTTTCTATGAGTTTCAAACAAAAAGATCTGTCTAAACTAAATAACGAGTTTGTAGGGTAAGGTAAAAAGGGTGCATAGTCTGAATTTCAATAGATATTACGATGTCCTGTCGTTTATTTGTAGCTGCTGTTTTGTTCGTCTTGCGTAAACCTTTCCTAGATCTATAAAAGGGCTTTTATATTCTGACCCTTAGATTTTTTAGACCCTTAGATAGCTACTTTAGTGGACTGATAACATGATTGTTTGCCCTGCTCAGGCTAGGTGATGAGACAATGGTTCAGTATGTGGTATCGAAAGACGCTATTACGTTGGCAGTTAGCATTGTGATTAACGAAGGCGTTACTATTGAGTAGGCACATAATTAGCAAGCAAGAGGTATTGAAGAAGCTATTAGATGCTACTCAGCGCCTAGAGAAGTGCTGCCAAAAATGAAAACAACTTAACAACACGTCTTACTTCACTGAGAATTAAAATACGAATTTAGTTAACTAATAAAATATTAGTGTTGCCTTCATTAGCTGTTAAATGTTATTAATTACGTCCATGTCATTGTTTGACGATGGGCTGTATCTGAACCGCAATGTAATTTACGTGTGGGTTCCGAGAAATAATTTATACCGGGCTAAAACCCAAGCAGTATATTTGGGTGTACGAACGAAGCAGACGACTTTTCCATGATATGACGGATTTCCTTTGGGCTGCCCATCCAGCCAAATTTATGACACCCACTATCATTACTGATGCTGTATTTTGTCCTGGTTCAAGGCTATCACAAGCGGCTGCAGTTTTTAGGTGTTTTGAATCTGCAGAGTTAACTGTTCGATAGCCTCGAGAACTCACTTCGTTAGAATAGACGATAATACAGCAAATAGTTTTCCACTATCTATAATTATCCCTCAGTCAAGATGTACGCTAATTCTTCGGATGTTCTTCGCATCCGACGCATGATTTTGTTTAGCTTACCTCAACATTGTACTCGAGGGTCGTGGGCCTGCGGATGTCTCCTGCAATGATCTGACCGTCCCGGCCGGGACCAAAGGCTAGCTTATATCCTCCATCCAATTTCGATAACTGATCGAGTAAAGCTAGACGATCCTTTGTCGCCAGGCAGTCCGCCATCGAATCATATTGTTCAACTACCGAACGATTGTTGTTGAAACAGTCCATAAAGTTGGCTACTGTGAATAGCAGGTTCTGGCCGTCTGCCTCTTTAAAAAACGCTAAAGTATTCGCAGCTCCGCTTAACAGAAGAGCTCTACGAAATAGACCCTTTGTAGCTGGAGACGACGTATGTATTGAGGCTGAAATGGCGCCTGCACTCTGTCCAGCAATTGTTACTAAGTTGAGGTCGCCACCAAAAAACTCCACATTGCGTTGGATAAACTTGAGCGCTAAGAGTTGGTCGAACAGACCCTGGTTCCCAGGAGCCGACTTACCCGTAGAATTCAAGAAGCCAAACAAGCTGACACGGTATGCCGGAAAAGCGATCACCGAATCGGTTTCGGCTGCAAACTCCACTCCGTCGTACAGAGCAAGGTTATTGTCTCCCCACTGGTAGAAGCCCCCATAAAAGTACACCATAACAGGCTTCTTTTCTGAGCTCGACGTGTCGGCTGAGGCAAAAATATTCATATAGAGACAATCATCATCGTTCATTTCGTTTTCGAGCCTGATACCTGGTACAATCATCGGGATTTGTGGACACATCGGCTTTTTCGTGAGTGCGTCTCTAGTGATGTTCGGGTCGACAGGATCCAGAGGTTCGGGGCGCTTAAAACGACGCTTTCCCACAGGCGGTTTGGCAAATGGTACTCCAATGAAAACATTGATATCCTTACCCTCGATCGATCTCATCTTATAGCCACGCAGATTACCCACCTCGGTTTTGACGTTCACGTATTGCACCTCGATGGGTTCCTGGGCTGCCACATTGTTTACAATTGATGATGACATTAAACAAATGAAACATATGATTGTTGATAGAGTCCGTGTTATATATATCTTGGTTGAGCACGTCGTACTGTTCAATACCGGAGACATTTTTCACATGAATCTGTTTAGTAACTGGTTCGCGCGTGTCCACTTTAAAAGTAAGGGTCGCCTTTGGCGACGATTTTCCGATAGTCGATGGACGCTGGCTGACGCCAAGTGTTACCTTGGTGAGGGCCGCAAGAAGACCCTTTCCGGCGAGCGCGCTTCTTTGCTGATGGTTATTCCAGCAAAAGCGGTACAACCAGCATTGGTACGATATATAGATAACTTCGTTTTGTGTCTAGTGTCTATTAAAAATAATATTAGCAGTTGGAGTAGAAGTACAACGCTAAGTCAGGCAAGCGTCATCACTAAACATAAATAATGCAGGGCGAAACGACGCAACAACATACGTGTGCGATAAAAATACATCAACCCACGGTTTGTCGTGGGTTATTCACATCCGCCATGATAGATCAGGCTATCTTGACATCCGGAGGTCTTTTGCTTTGTATATTTATAACAGAACTGTATCTGGACGGTGACCACAGACCGACTCTACGCTTGACTTATATGGCAAAAACAAGATGCTAATCGCTACATTGCGTCTCAGGTAATTGCCCCTCTTGCCAGAATGTACGGATATATGGTGAAAGAGGTACGGAGTACAGTGCCGTGAACCTTAATAATGACGTGCAGCGCAATATAACGGTTTATTTGTATATATATACACAAAGAATATACTTTACAGTAAGCGTTCTATAATTTATAACGCTTATGCTTGTAACACAGAAGCATGACACATTCCTTGTAATCTTGGAATACATACATTTATTCGGGCCATATTTTTATGTTGGGTGGCAAAGGAACCATTGTACTTAAATATGTTCGTTAATTTTCTTGATTCCTACACTGAAAGATATACGTCAAGAATTATTTTCTGTATGATGCTACGTCCACGCAGCCGCTAACTGTTAACACGGTGTTGCTATCCATTAGCTTGTACTACAAACGAGTTGTTTTTAAATACAAATGTTGTGTGTGCAGTACATTTAGATTCGCGTATATGACTCCAGGAACTTATGTCTCAAGAGCAATGATCTGGTTCGGATCTCTGTACGCTTTCGATCTTTTTCGCGGTAGCCGAAAGCAGCAAACAAAAGCAAGACAGAAGCCCGCCATTGTTCTTGAGTGCCGAAGTTATGCTTCGTATTTTTATTTAACTGATGTGAGTCCCACCATTAACCGATGAGACATACCCTTGAAGCGTTTACTTGAGACCCGATAGGAATCATATTTCCAAGGCCATTATGTATGAAGCTGACAGAAGTTGTGGAATTTATCATATAGAATATATTATCCACTCAAACATATCGAGATTTTCGAACGTCCAATTGGATAGTTAACGCATGCAGTAGGCCCCGTAAAAAATCACAGGGGCTTGCTTAGCACCTAAAGTAATATTTAATAGTATACAGGTATTCGCTTTAGATAAACAAGCTCAAATTGAGGTATAGGTTCTGGGGCAAATCGGCAACAGCAGTATTCAGAAAAGTCATTCAGCGTTCTTTCGCATCATCGCATTTCAGATGCGGGTCAATGACAGCGACCTTTCGTCCCTAATTTCTCTAATTCATCATTATTCTATTCGTTTCAACCAACTCACGGAACACATGCGTTTTACCATATCCTATAAGATCCCCAGGTGCTATGTTTTTCTGTACAAGATGTAGTCATGCGCTTCTGTACTTTGTTCGGGAAGTCTCTTTGACCGGGCGCATCCATTTAAGAAAATGTTTATATAGCAAATTTACACGCTCATACGATACAATTGTATTTTTGTACAAACAAATAGATATAAAATCAAACCGAACTCATTAAATGTCTTTTTGAGTAGCATTTCAAGTACTTAAAATATATACATTTATAACAACTTGTTCTATATGATACTCTATACTATACATATGGTCGTTTCACGAGCCTGGTTGAAGCTGATGTCATAAGACGATTTATAGTCGATTTAGGATACGCGAGGTTGTTTGGACCTGCCAATGGTTGCAGATTTTGTACCATGATAGTAGAATTTTTCGGTTAGACATCTTGCCTGGCAATTGAACTTGTGGGCAGCTTGCAGCATTATACATATCACAAAGTTGCTTACATCTAGTGCAAGCACAGTATTTATCAGGTTTGAAGAAAAGGAAGATATTTCTGGACTCTTCATAGGTGATGGTAAAAGCCTTGAATTGCATAGCGGCTCAATACACGTTTGTTGCACCAATCAAGCCTTTTTCCAAATCTTGTCCATCATTTGATGAAATTTGAAATCGACTTCCAAGAATTTTGAGTCCCATTGTACCAGGCTATCTTGAAGCCTTGGAGTCGACAATAGGTTAAAACGGCAATGGAAGCATTCATCGAAGAGTCCCGTTGCTAACAGGAGAAAGACAAGTCTTGGGGAGGGCAAGGGAGACAAGACGCATTGTCCGGTAGAATCTTAAAGCTCTTTTAAGAAACAAGACCTTTGTTTGTTTCTAATACTCTAGTTTCTTTACTGTGAGCACCCCTGATTAAGCTCGCTCCGTATGTGGAACCCGACACAGCTTTTTGGGTCGAAACGTCGCAAAGCCATCGAGAGGGACAATCTACTGGCGCCAAGTATTGAGGGCGAAGCTATTAAGGCTTCTTTGCAACCTGTCGGTAATATGGTGGTAGAAACTTCGAGCTTCAAAGCAGACTAGGAATCCTAGGAAGATGAATCAATGAACATATGTCAGCGGTCAGCCAGAAAGATATAGCGTGTCATGATTCGCAGCCTCGTCACCTCTTCTGAATTTCAATGCCTCGAACTTGGTTAGGTGAACGGTCGGTTCCAATTCCGAGACGGCGGAATGTAACCTGGATAAGACATGTCTGCATATGGAAACCAGCGTTCTCATAAACAACTAAGCCGCCTGCAGAGAGCATAATCTTCACCATATTTTTTGGCCCATGTATGTCATTGGGAAGATCCTTGAGGAACGCTAAGAAAAGGAAAGTGCTCAAGTTATCACCATAAACTACACTAGTAGTTTGGAAGAACGCTGGCCACTGCGAAATCCCAACATTTGTTGTTATCTAAAATATCGCTGCAATTAAGTTAAGCAGGTTCGGGAAAACGCTGACATCGGCAAAAATGCTTAACACTAAACACTTTGCAACGCAGTAGAAGACAGCGTTCAAGTCTACATGCACTGCATGACTATATTGCCGCAGGCAGCTTAAGATTTGCGGCCTTCTCCACTACATCGATTGGTTTGGGTCGCTGTTGTTTTTTGGGATAATGAAAAACGTTGCATCCTGCCAAAGAGAAAGAAGCAGTGCAGAACGAAGACATTTGTTGAACAGTCGTCCGTATGGCACCAGTTCAACGATGGTCTTCCGTCCCAAATCAGCCTTTCTTGAGCGTAGCCATTTATCTCCAGGTCAAGGAGCTCCTGAAGCAGTCTTTTGCATTGTCATTTGTCCCACGTTGCACTGAACAGTGAGATCCCTTAAGGTACGGTATTACCAGATGCGAATATTTCAGTGAAGTTGTCCATGAACACTCATGAAGCGATAGAAGACGATGTACACTTGTCACGGAAATCAAGTCACTTATATGCCGGACGTTCGGTCCGCTTTTTTTTTGAAACAGCCTTCCGCTGATTCAGGTTTTTCTTTTGGTAGGTAGCATGTGTCTTCCGGAAAACCACTTTGAACACAGCGGCCAATGGCTCCGTTGCCAGTTGTAGTGCGATTAATGGACCAAAGGCATCCTGGGCACGGCAGGCGAAGTGGCATCATAGCCGGCGTGTCCTCGGACAGGACGAAGAAACCGATGATTGCAGGATGTCAACAAAATGACGCAAATAAACCTCAGTATATACTGTGTTTAGCACAGAAAAGATCGCATGAGTCCGTTTCAGAGGCTTCTGGACAGGCAATGGTCCTAAGCAGACCCTGAAGTCTAATTCGACAGGAATGTGTATCTGAAGCTATCCGTCCTCCTATAAAGGGTATTCTTTCCAAAATATGTGATTTAATCACAGATATTTACGACAGGGCTACCTACAGCACTGGCAACGTCAGGGGATTGACCACCCAACAGTGATGCTTATCAGTCTGATAGTGCTTTAGATGTTGTAACGTTATAGAATAAACAGATGACCGAACCTCCGAAGATCTGCGGCATCCTCAATAAAAATACTGATAATGCTCATGCAAATAAATGTCACGAAAAGTAAACGTTGTTTTAAACGAATAAGGGAATGTTTTATTAACTAAACAGTTGTTGTTGAGGCATTTAAAACATAATAAAAGCAGAAAATACTTTGAGTAACGAAATGCATTGGCCTTATTTTTGTATAAGAATGTGATATATGTATTAAAGATCAATAAATAGTTATGTTACGCTGATCTGTACTCAAATAAGAACGAAAGAAAACCTCTAAAATAGAACATATACTATAAAGAAAAGAATTGACCTAAACAGTTATATCATATATAGCGTTTTTGTGCACGAAGGTTTACATTATTATACGTATTCTTCTTCTCGTTCTGCCTATAATAACATCGTAGATCATAATCAATATAAAGATAACTGTTGTGATACCTGTACAAATGTTTTTTTTTTTTACACAAAAAAAAAGCATGTATTTATGAAATCAAACATAATAATATTAAGTTAGTTTAGACCATCGCCTATCTAGCATTTATGATATTGCGTATACCTTGCAAACAATAATGGCTTTCCTCTGTGCATTGCGCGATCAAGCTGTTAGCTTTCGTGATATAGATGTATTATGTTGGAGGCTACTTTTACTGTTAATTAATGAAACACCTGTTCAATACAGTCAATTAATGATGCAACTGTATGAATATCCCTAGACATTATTTACGATGAAGCATGAGGTCCATCCCAGTAGGATTACACACATCTATTTCGTTCAGGAACCCCAGAGGTAAAGCGAACGACTTTTGCGAAGGAAAAAGTAAATAAAGCTGAAGCTGAAATTCTTCCGTAACGTATTCACAGAAAAGCTATTTAGGAATATTCAACATTCGGGGACGGCCAGATCAAGTGAACTATAA